AGGGCAGTGGTTCAAACTCAGCAGCTACCGTGCAAGAAAGATGGGGATGTCTGCTCCCATACAGATTTATAGTCTTGGAAATCTTATGGAGTAGTTCTATTGTGCCTTATAGGGTTGCTATGAGTCAGAATTGAAATCAGTGAGGTTTCGGTTTGGGTATGACTGTTGTGAGGATTAAATAAGATGATCCTTATAGAATGCTTACTCCATCCCCTTGCTCAAATATATGTATTTAAAATAATGATAATAAAGTGGTGATCCTAAGTGACTTGCCCAAAAACAAATAGTTATAAATGACAGAGCTCCTTAGTCACCATGTATAGTGGTTGATATGTAAGACAGCAAAAGCATTTAACTGAACCTTTTCATTTTAGCGGGGAGGGAAATCACTAAGTACAAGGATTCATTCATTCATTTGTTCCAACAATTGCTTATGTTACAGAGGTAAGCATAATAGACAAGGCCCCTGTGGAAGATGGACAGTAAATGTGCCAACACAACAGAAAATATTGGGTAACAGATGCTGAGTTCTTTGAATATAAAACAGGACTCTTTGATCGTGAGAGATATGGGCTGTGTTGTACTGTCAGAAAAGGCATCTCTGAAAAAGAGACATTTAGGCTACAATGGAAATAGTTTTATTAATGTATTTTAAAATCCCATAATCATATTTTGGAGTTCTGGCATGGCTCTGTAGGATAAGCACTGGCCCGCAAAATTGGTTTAAACTGCAAGATTGCCTGCTCAAACCCATCAGCCACTCCTCGGAAACTCTATACAAGATCTCTATGAATCAGAAGCAACTCGAAGGCACTTAACAACAATCATACTTAACAACAATCATAATTTCAGGCTGAGGAAGGTCAAGAGATGGTAGATCAGTGCTATGCTCACAAAGGTTTTTGGTACTTTTCCAGGTAAAAAAAATATGGTGTTAGGTAGTCAGTCTGTACTGGGGACTGTTAGCAAGCTTGCTGTTAATATGGCAGAGTGGAAAAGAATCAAAAATGCTAATTCACAAAATTTTCTGTTGTTTGTTGGAGTTCTGGGGGGTATGGCACTAGGAAATGTTTTGTAGGAGAGTTGTAAAGTGATACCTTAATAGTTGTCAGCAAGTAAAGTTTTATGGTTATGTGACATTTTAATTAGAAAACAATTTTATGTTCATTATTACTGAAAAACCAAAGGAGCCAGTAAGATTAAAATGAACATAAATGAATCATGAAGTGTTTTCCTTTAAATATTAATTTTGATTGTGTATAATTCTAAAAGAAAGATAGAATAAATGAAGTAGAATGCATGGTTCTGTGACAAATTGTGTAGACTACTTTTCAAAAGACCTGATTTTTTATTATAAAAAATGTAGGAAATAGAAAAAACTAGAATTTTAAAAAATGAACCACAGTTCCGTCATTCTTCATTAAATATTAACTAATAAACTCATTACTGTTCACAGAAAATCATTTTTCTTATCTTTATTCTATACCTTTTACAATAATTGGTGTTTTATACATACATACATATACATTTACATACATATATACACCTACAAATATAATTATATTTGTAATTATTTGTGATTTAAATAATGACATGATTTTCTCATTATCACAACTCCATGGTAAACATGATTTTCAATGGTTGCATACTATTCCATCCTGTGAGTGAAAGTTATATTTTTCATGAGTATCATATATGAACTTATTTTACTCTCATTGCTTGCTTCTTCCAAAAGCAGATGTAGAACCCAGGAGGTAGAAGGTAAGGAGCTACTTAGAGGAAGTTCTGATTAATCATGATTTTTCCTGTGATATCTCAGCTTTGTAAGACAAAACCACTCTCAATCTTAGAACAGTTTTGCTGAAACATATTTAACACTACTATTTTTACTTTGGCAGGAAAAATAGAAGTTGACAATTTTGAAGTAAAAAATTATTGAGGTTTAGGTGCATTATAGAATTATTTAAAAAAACCAATTTAAGAACCATAACTAAATTTTAAGACCCTCGGAAACCCTGTACAGGGTCGCTATGGGTCGGACCCGACTCGACGGCACTTAACAACAACAACAACAACAACTGAAAAGAAAAGTAGGAAAATTTTAACTTTTTTTTATTGTGTCTAAATTTCAAGGTCTTTCTGATATATTAATTTTATATTACTAATGAATTAGTCAACAATAATGTACATTTAAATTATAACTATGTTTCTCAGCTATCTAGAGCACATAGCAAAATAAAATCATGTTAATTATCTTTAATTACTGAAAGGGCACATAATAGCATCATTAAAATTTCTCATGTGGTTCTTACATTTAATTTCTATACATTTCAACACTGTTGAAAGCTGAATTATCTCCTTTAATATTTAAATTGAATCTCAACTAGATTACTGTTGCCTATTCAACTTCTATTTGCTGCTGGTGGAATGAGAAATAGAACCTTCTCAAAAGTAGTTTGCCAATATGTACCAGAAACTTTTTCCTAAGGAAATAATTGGACAGGTATGTAATGATTAAAGTACAAGAGTGTAACCTTGTTTATAGTAATAGAATACTTCAGCATTTAGGGAGTAGTTAATGTTAACATTTAGGGAGTGTGTAAATTAAATGTGGTACGTTCATATAACAGGATACACTATGAAGCACTAAAGTATATGTATATTTTTAATTTGGGAAAAATGACATGCTGTAGTGTAGATACCTTGATCTGGTGATGGTTATGTGCTGTGGAGTCGGTTCTGACTCATAGTGACCCTGCATAGGGTTTCCAAGGCTGTAAATCTTTACCGTAACAGAAAACCTCATCTTTCTGCCACAGAACAGCTGGTAGTTTTGAACAGCTAACCTTGAGGTTAGCAGCCTAATTCATAGCTACTACACTCCCAGAGCTCCTTATTGATCTGCTATATGGATTTATTTGATACTGACAGTTAAATGTTGGTGAATGCATGTCAAAGAGAATGATTTTTATTTTGCTAATATTGAAAATGAGTCCTCATTGAAAGGCGCTAGGACTGTTTGTCTCTTGTTTTGCTCCCAGTTAATTTATTTTAAGCATATGATATTTTATCTCCCAATCTCCTATTTGCTATGGTAGAAAAGCAAGTACCCAATTCATTTGTAGATATTATTATGTAAGTAAAATTTAAATTAAAAAGAGGACTGAGATATATTTTTGTGCCACTTAAAATTGATACCTGGTCTGCTTATCCTGATTCTGGATGTAATAATTGGATTGTAGAAGTGTAAGAACCGTGAGCACAGGGAATTTCGATTAAGCTTACACTGTAATAGACATGTCATTCCCACCAAAGACCAGTGTAGCTCTTGAGTCTACTGGATCTCCAGTTTTCCAGCAACTAACTTGCAGGATCTTGTTCCTCATGAGACTGTCAGATGCCCCAGAAGATAGAGTTCTTGGTCTTAAGTCTCAGTCTTCTTTGATTGGACTCTTCATGGCTGTGGCCAGTCCATGGTGAGTCAAGACACCTGGTCTGCTTTACTGATGGACATTTTTGGAGCCATTGCCACTTCTTGGCCAGAATCAACTCATTCGTGGAGTTCGAGGGATCCTGTTTTGATGTTAATGTCTTCTCTCTCTGCCTGATAAACTCGTTTGTGATCTATTTTTCAGTGTCCCAAGAGATTGCCCCTTTCTTGGCAGTTAGCTTTGATACTTACACTTTGGGTTGGAAGTGTGCCCAGACTCTAGATCTCAGTCTTGCCAATGGAGAACTGTCCAACTCACTTCCACAATGAGTGAGGGTCACTCTGATAAGCAGGTGGACTTTTAAAATAATATGAGCAACATTGATACTCCAGCACCTGCTGGGTTAGAAAGAGTCCCGGTTGGGAAACTGATGAAGTGGTGAAGTTGCAAAATCCAATAAACAAATTCACACTGATACAGTTTGCATTAGGAGACTATAAGGAAGAAGTAACTCAAAAGGCAAAGAAGATGTATTAAAATTGAAGTCTCCAGCTCTGCAACACATGTTTAATCAGGATGTGTTACAACTGCAACTTGAAATCCAAAGAAGGTAAAAGGAAGATTAGGAGTGATATCAGAGGTACTGGAAAACTGATCTCTTGGGGAAATCATATGGTAATGCGAAGAGTGATTTACCTCACCTTCATTGTTTTGGCAAGAATATACCTGGTGTTCCTAACTTACCCTTGATTAATGCACATAATTCATAAATAAGAAATGAGCTGGAAACTACCCAGAGAGAGAATATTAATGTGCTATGTTACAGTTGTTAGCAATACAACATAGTTATGGTAGGACTCAGCACCTTTAACCTGTTGTTGTCTCCAAGATCACTCATTCATCCAGCCAGCTAGGCAGCCGTTCAACAAAGATCTGTCAGGAGGCAGGCAGGGCAGTAGGGCCTGGGGTTACAATGGTGGATAAAATAGACACAGACCCTCCCTCATCAAGCTTGCAGCAGAGACTAAGAAATAGATGAAGTTACCACTGTAAGATAAATGCTTTGATAGAGAAGTAAGGGGTTAGCATTCTGGAGCAAGGGACATTTATGCTGAGTCCAAAATTATTCATAGGAGTTAGCCAGAAGGGGTTTGGGGTTGTTGTTGTTGTTAAGTGCCGTCGAGTCGGTTCCGACCCATAGCGACCCTGTACAGGGTTTCCGAGGGTGTAAATCTTTACGGGAGTAGAAAGCCTCATCTTTCTCCCGCGGAGCAACTGGTAGTTTCGAACCGCTGACCTTAAGGTTCGCAGCCCGATTCGTAACCACTACGCTACCAGAGGTAGTGGTGTTTAATGTGCCATGAATTCAGTTCTGACTCACAGTGAGCCAGTATAGGGCCTCTGAGGCTGTAAATCTTTATTGGAGCAGAAAGTCTCATCTTTCTCCCACAGAACAGTTGGTAGTTTTGAATGGTAGTTTCAAGGTTAGCAGCTTGACTCATAATCGCTATGTTGTGGGGTTTAGCAGTGGCAATTGGTTTAGTGAATGATTTTACAATTGTTTTCTTTCATTTTCTTTCTAGGATATCCATCCAGTTCATCTCCACAATGAATGAGTGTCACTATGATAAGCAGATGGACTTTTTTTATACTAGGACCAACACTTCCACAGCTGATGAATGGACGGGGACGAATCTTGTGATTGTTTTGTGTTTTGGAACATTTTTCTGCTTGTTTATTTTTATCTCGAATTCTCTGGTTATTGCAGCAGTGATAAAAAACAGAAAGTTTCATTTTCCCTTCTACTATCTGTTGGCAAACTTAGCAGCTGCAGATTTCTTTGCTGGAATTGCCTATGTATTCCTGATGTTTAACACTGGCCCTGTTTCAAAAACTTTGACTGTCAATCGCTGGTTCCTCCGCCAGGGGCTCTTGGACACGAGTTTAACTGCCTCCCTGACCAATTTGCTGGTTATTGCTGTGGAGAGGCATATGTCAATCATGAGGATGCGGATCCACAGCAACCTGACCAAAAAGAGGGTGACCCTGCTCATTCTGCTCATCTGGGCCATTGCCATCATCATGGGGGCGGTCCCCACACTGGGCTGGAATTGCCTTTGTGACATCTCTACCTGCTCTTCCCTGGCTCCCATTTATAGCAGGAGTTACCTCATTTTCTGGACTGTATCCAACCTTGTTGCATTCTTCATCATGGTTGTGGTGTATCTGCGGATCTACTTGTACGTCAAGAGGAAAACCAATGTCCTGTCTCCACATACAAGTGGGTCCATCAGCCGCCGGAGGACACCCATGAAGCTAATGAAGACAGTGATGACTGTCTTAGGTAAGAGGAACCAACGGAGTTACTGTTCCCACTCATCCAACTAATATTTATTGAGCGCCTACTGTGTGTAAGGCTCTTCCTAGCACTAGGAATGTAGCAGTGAACAAATAAAAAAAAAATCCCCATCTGCCTAGATCTTATACCAGGGGGCTTCAAAAGGTTCAGGGGAAAATTCTTTTTTTTTTTTTTTTTTAAAGCTATTTTGTGTGTGAATTGATTGGAGGTTTACAGCACATCACCAGTTTTACATTCAGCAAATCCTAAACTGGACTTCATTTCAATGCTTGCAGTCTCCTCCATATCCATTATTTTAAATTCCATTTTTCTATTAACTTTTCAAAGCTCCTAATGGGAGAAAACAAAATGGGTATGGTAAATAAGATTTTGATGAATCTTGTGGGAGAGGAATAAAGCAGGGAAGGGAGACATGAATGCTGTATGTATGTAGCTTCCAGTTTTAACAAGGGTTGTAAGCAGCAGCTTCACTTGGAAGATGACTTTTGAGCAGAGATGTGGAGAAAGGTGGTCAATGGACGAACCATGCAGGTATCTGGAAATGGAGGTTCTGGGTACCAGGTAGAGTATCCACAGAAGCTTTGAGATGTTCACGTACCTAGTGTATTTGAGGAACAGCAAGGAGGCCAATGTGGCTGGAGTAGATGGAGCAAGGGAAGAGTAGAAGGAGATGAAGTCAGGAATAGGTGTGGGAGGGGATCAGGTTATGTATACTTATGCCATTGTCAGAGAGACTGTGACTTCTCTGAGTAAGATGACAGGCCTTTGGAGATTTTTGAAAGAAGAGTGACTTGATTTGACTTACATTTTTATTGGCATCTCTCTGGCTGCTCTTTTGAGAGAATATTCCAGTAAGGCAAGGGAAGAAGGAAGAAAATTGATTAATAGGGTGTTTCAATACTCAAAGGAGAAATGGTGACTTGAACTAAATGGCATTTGGAGGTGGAGAGGCATGGTTCTGATTCTGTATATATTTCAATAGTAGAGTTGATAAGATTTCCTGATGGGTAAGGTATTGCAGTTCAAATCCACCAGCTGCTCCTTGGAAACTCTATACAGGGTCACTATGAGTTGGAACTGACTCACAGCACTTAACAATAACAACAAAAGGTGTGGGAGAGGAGTCCTGGTGTGGCACTTTAGGATAAGCACTGGACTGCTAACCACAAGGTTGGCATTTCAAACCCACCAGCTGTTCTTCAGAAACCCTATATAGGGCCACCATGAATTGGAACCAGTTCAATGGCACTTAACCACAGCAAGGGATGGGAGAAGATGAAAGGAGGACAAGGTAGAGAGTGCCATTTACTGAGATAGACAAGCTTGCAGAGGAGCTGGTTTCGGGGAGAAGAAATTTGGTTATGTTCAAGTTAAATTTGTATCCTATTTTACATCCAAGTGGAGATAATGAGCAGGCAGTTGGCGGTATAACTCAAGAGTTTAGAGCTGACATTTGGACTGAGATGTACATTTAGAAGTCCAGGGGAAGAAAGTATTTTAAACCATGAGGTTGGATAAGCTTACTTTGGGAATGAATGTGGATAGAAAAGAGAAGAATGTTGATGGAGAAAATAGGTTGGGGAGACAAAGGAGTTCCAGAAGGAACAGCCAGAAAACCAAAATAGCATGATGGCCTGCAAACTAAGAAATGAAAACACTTGAAGATGAGGGAGTATTCATAGCCTGAATACTACTGCAAGTGAAGTTAGTCTGACTGGATTTTTGCCATGTGGGGTAGAGCTGACAGCTGGACTGGAGTGAAATGAACAAAGAAGGTGAGGGGAAGGTTCCAGACAGGGAATGTGGACAGTTCTTTGAGGAGTTTTGCTTTTCACTGCGAACCATGTACTAAGAAGACACTTCTGGTAGGGTAAAATTTCCTCTCAGTTTTTTTTTTTTTTTCCTCTCTATAGCAAGTTGTCTGATGTCTCCCAACTGCAGTCCTGAATTACAGGTAGAATTTGTGGCATGTGGACAAACAAAACTTTTGTGGTTTTATAGGCCTTGTTCTCTAAGATAGGCAGGCCATTTCTACCATGTGCAGTGGCTGCAACAGTGGAAATCATTACTGAGAGAGATCCAGGAGTACACTCCTGTCAGGTTCTAATGTGGAAGTATTATAAAGGAATTCTTGGAAACCATCCTCTAATAGAGGATGCAGGGTGTATGTGGTGTCTGTCATAAGGGAGCTCTCCCTATACCTATAGGTCCTGGGGCTGCTAGAGGATTTGGAGGGACATCAGATAACACAGTATCATTATTAAAAGTAATTTCAAATTCTGGATTTATTTTAGTTAACAGATACTTATGTGGTACCTCATATGTACTTAGCATTATTCTGTTTTACAAATATTGATCTAATTGTCATGGTAACCCTATGAGGTTGGTACTACTGTTATTTTCATGTAACAGATAGAGAAACTGAGTGGAGAGTTTAAGCATCTTGACCAAGGTCATCTAAATATTAATGGTAGAACCAAGAGTCCCCATACAGTTTTCCTCTTGAGTCTACTTACTCAGTTACCACAACTTTGCTGCTGGTTTTAATTGGTTTGGACTTTTCCTGGTCTCTTATTTGTTCTGTCTTCTGCTTTGGCCACCTCATTCTTCTTTTAGCACAGGTATAAGAACACACAGGAACAAGAAACAGAGGGTTCACATTCATCAATGTTGGCACTGTTTAGCTAGAGAAGATACTAATATTTTGGGGGCAAACATAAGGTTTGGTATTTATTGGTGTGGCTCTGGTCTCCACTACTTGTTCTACTGGTTAGCTTGCATGGCGACATGTGTTGAGAATTTATCAGGACTTTATTTTCACAGTATATTATATCTGGCATACAACATGAGATAGCAAAGACTTTTGTAATCCCATGTAGGGGGACCAGAACTCTCTCTGTAACAGAGAGTCCCAGTTATATAGGTAACTTTTTCTGGAACAGGTCTGAAAGGTTCAAAGTAAAGGAGCCATGTGTTAGAGAAGGAAGGAAGCAAACAAACAACAAAAAACTAGACTAAACAATGAAATTGCTCAGTAGGATAAGAGAGGTAGTGGGATTGAGGTGAGACAACATTGGGGAATTGGTTAGCGGCAGGAAGATATCTTGGTGTGGAGACTCTAGGGAAGTTTCTCAGTGGTGAGACAAAAGGACCTGGTAAAAGATGGGAAGTGCAGGGATGGAAGAAATGAAACTAAAGAGCTAAGTGGCATGAGGTTTATGGACTTCTTTCTAACTCATTCATACTTCGTACATTCCATGTTCCAATTTTCAATGGATGTTTACAGCTGTTTCTCTTCATTTTGAGTTGTGCCCCATTAGCAAATGAAGGTTCTGTGGCCACCTAACAACAACAACAACAACAACATCTAACTCATAATTTCTTTGGACAAGAGGTTTAAATTTCAGCCCTTAGTCTGTCTTTTTCTACAGAGCGAGCAACAGCAAATCACACCTTTTATTTGGGTTAAATTTCCTCATTTGAGGGAGTATAGATAATCGTTACATGCAGCCTCTGGTTTTAGTGAGTGAGGTCTGTTTCAGGTATGTGGGAACAGGTGCTTACGGTTTTTATTTAGCCTTATTTTAGTGCTAGAAAAGGCACAAAGCCTTTTCCCACTTTAAAAGTTGCATTTGCAGCAAGTGGAGGTAATTGTGAAGAACTTGTTTGTAGGAACCCTGGTATGGTGCTGTTGGATAAGCACTTGGCCATAAGGTAGGTTTGAAATGCAAGGTTGTGGGTTTAAACTCACCAGCTACTCCTCAGAAACCCTATATAGGGTGGCTATGAGTGGAACCAACTCTACAGCACTTAACAACAATAGCAAGGGTTGATTTACTTGTTTCAAAGTAAGGGCAAATTTACAAAACATTAAAGGGCAAGGATGAGTTGTCTATAAGTAGGATATTTGTAACTCAGGGACTTACTATGATATTATTCAGTTGTCTTTTTATAACAGTGGAGTCCTGGTATGGCACTGCAGGATAAGCACTTGACCACAAGGTCGATTTGGAATGCAAAGTCAGCAGTTCAAACTCACCAACCACTCCTCAGAAACCCTATACAGGGTCACAGTGGATCGGAACCAACTTGATGGCACTTAACAACAATAAGGATAACATTGGAGTACTGGTGTGGTGCTGTAGAATAAGCACTGGTAATGCTCCCAGGCCACTCCTGGGAAATCTTATACAGGGTCACTATGAGTTGGAACTGACTTAATGGCACTTAACAACAACAACATTGTAACATTTTGGGGTCCTAGTATGGCTCTGTAGGAAAAACCTGGACTGCTGACCACAAGTACAGCAGTTCAAATCCACCAACTCTCCTTGGAAATCCTATACGGAGTCACTGAGTCAGAACTGACCCGAAGGTCCTTAACAACAAGAGCATTATAACAGCATTAGTGTCCCTGGGTGGCATAAACAGTTAAATGTACAACTGCTAATAGGAACGTTGGCAGATCAAGCCCATGCAGAGGCACCTTGGAAGAAAGACATGGTGAACTGTTTCCAAAAGGTCATAGCCTTGAAAACGCAATGGAACGCATGTCTACTTTGTATATCTGGGGTCACTATGAGTTGGCATCAAAACAGTACAGTGGATATTTTTTTGTTTTAATAGTAAAAAACCAAAGTTGAGCATGAAAAGGAAAAGAGAAAAGTGTTTTGTGTTACTGGGGGTGTAGCAGCTCACACAGAGCTCCAGGGGCTGGCTAAATATCAAAGCACAGAGCTTCCGTCTGTGAGAACATCTACCACAGTAGCTTCCTAGGTCGGAGTCACTCGGTGCTTCTATCTGATGCATGTAAGAATTTAGTTTCTTAAGTCAAGTGTCTTAATGATACTAATTTAGAAAAAAACAATAGTTCTGGAATTTTCATCATCATTATGTTGCTGTTGTTAAGTGTAGTCAAGTCGATTCTGACCCGTAGCAACCCTGTATAGGGTTTCCAAGGAGCAGCTGGTAAGCTTGAACCACCA